TCCCGCTGCTCCACCAGGTTCCCGGCTCCCTGTATTTTACAGCCTGTCAGCCAGAGGTTCCACGGGAAACATTTCAGAGCTCTGGGACACATGAGGCTCATCTGAAGTACTTTTTGTCTTCCCCCAAGCATGGGCTACAATTGAATCCGTAGGCAATTAAAGGGTGTGTTCTGTGCTTAGCCTTGATGAGCGGCAGGTCTTCTAAGGCTCTGGAATCCCCAGGGAGCACCAAGGTGCAGAGAAGCACCCATCCCATCCTCACCAGGGGGGTGACTGGTTGAGTCCTCACAGGACTGTCCTCTGGAATAGGTCATAGCTTAACTCCCATGCAGTCTTTCTGTCCATCAAACTTGAATGTTCTTGGATGAAAAATAATGCCTGCAACATTTAAATGTGTTTAAAATGCCTAGCTCTGTTTCTGGAACAGAGCAACTAGAAACTAATGGCTATTACCAGGTTCTCACTGTAATTCACCATAAATTGCTTTATATTCCCTGGCATCTGTATCTCTTTTAATCATGGAAATTATAAATTAATATATTAGCCACACAAGTAGCTTAGGATGATGTTACATATGTATATGCTTTATGTTTTCCATTTAGTCCTATAAGGTTTTAAAATAATTTTATTTATTTTATTTTTGGCTGCATTGGGTCTTAATTGCAGCACACAGGATCTCTGGTTGAGGTGACTGGGCTCAGAAGTTGTGGCATGAGGGCCTAGCCAACCCGAGGCACACTGGCTTGCCTGGGAAATCCCATGGACAGAGGAGTCTGGTGGGCTGCAGCCCATAGGGTCACAAAGAGTCACAAAGAGTCGAACACGACTGAAGTGACTGAGCATGCACGCATGCACACAACTGTCATGTTAAATATCAGCCACAAGTGTTGAAACAGCCAGCCAACAGCACCTCAAACTAATGGAGATTTGTTTTTCTCACAGGAGAAGTCAGAGGTCCCTGGCTATTGCCTAGTGATGTCACCAAGGACAGGACGCTTCTTTTTGTTTTGTCATCTTCAGTGTTGACGTTCTGGCCTCCTGCTTGTCACCTCAGGGTCACAAGGTGACTGCTACAGCACTCACATCTCTTTAAGTCTCCTGCATTGGTAAGTGAGTTCTTTACCACTAGCACCGCCTGGAAAGCCCACACAGCTGGGTACGTAGTGCTAAACAAGAGGGAAAAATAATTACAAATACACTGTGCGTGACCATGGAAAATCGGGATACAGGCAAATCTAAGCTAGACTAGGCACAGGATGGCTTACTCAGACAGTAAATGCCTCTGCCTACAGTGCAGGAGACCTGGGTTCAATCCCTGGGTCGGGAAAATCCCCTGGAGAAGGAAATGGCAACCCACTCCAGTACTCTTGCCTGAAAAATCTCATGGACGGAGGAGCCTGATTAGGGTCACAAAGAGTCAGACACGACTAAGCGACTTCACTTCAAGTGATAAATAGGGCTTCCTAGGTGGCTCACTGATAAAGAGATGGTTACAAAATATTATAGAATATTCATACTATGAATTAGTTGATGTGTGGGGAAAAAAAAATCTCTTGCCAAGCAAGAGATGTGGGTTTGATCCCTGGGTCGGGAAAATCCCCTGGAGAAGGAAATGTTAACCCGCTCCAGTATTCTTGCCTGGGAAATCCCATGGACAGAGGCGCCTGGCGGGCTGCAGTCAATGGGGTCGCAAGACTCAGACAAGACTTAGGGACTAAAGAATCAGAAGTGATACATCAAGGTCAGGGAAGACGCATCAGACAGATGGAGCGGTCTGCTCTGAAGGGGACAAGAAGATGGTGGGGCACAGGTCTAAGAGCCAAATGGACAGGGGCCTCGTCGGCTCTGGCAGGGATGTGCTGCTTTGCTCCATGAACAATGAACGGGAAGCCCCTGCAGAATGAGTCTGAAGCAGGAGCAAGTCACAGTCCGGTTGGTTTTTTCTAAGTGTCCCTAGGTGAGAGATGGGGCTGGAGATACAGGGAAGGAACAGGGATGAAGGCATGGCTATAGAAGGGCAACAACAGGAGGGGACCTGGCCACGATGGAAGTGTTTTGACCTCGACCAAATCAGGGTCGACATCCCATTGTGAGGCTGTGGTATGATTCAGCAAGGAGTTACGCCAGGGGGAACTGGAATCCCTCTACTGTTTCTGACAACTGCATGAGAATCTATAATGACCCCAGAAAGTTAAATGAAAAGAAGTGTCTCCTGGTTTCAACACAGAGAGTGGAGGAGAAGGAGTAAGGGTGGAAGAGACCAGTGATGAGTCATTTGAGAGCTTCCGGGCCTTGGACCAGGGAGTGGGGATAAGAGGTGTGGATTGATTCCCGAAGTATCTAGAGCGTTGTATGGGCCGATGGATGGATGGATGGTGGGAGGGGCAAGACCGGAGCAGATAGGCGGATTCTGGCATTTTCCTGAGATAGGACACAAAGGAAGAGGAGCTGATTTGGTAGTGGGGATAAGGAGGTGGGCATGGCCAGCTCCTGGGTGGGCTGCTCAGGTTAAGGAGGCCATGAACGATCCAGGTAAAGGTTCTGAGTGGAGTGACATTTCTCCTCCACCCCATTCCCAAGTCCCAGGGCCTTCCTTCTAGGAAAACATCAGAGAGTAAGGCACCTTTGGTCCGATGGATGCTCGGGTATCCCACTTGAAGCCCTTTCTCTACTGGCCTAACCTGCTCTCCCGGCCCTAACGACTGCCACCCGGGGCTCTGGGTCTGCAGGGAGGCTGGGGTCACACCCAAAGCCCCCCGCCCTTGCGCAGCAGCCTCTCCCCTCCCTTCACTTCTGTGCATCTCCACGGGGGGCCTCTGCTTGCTTTCTAGCAGCAGCCCTCACCTTCTTCCTCTTTCTTTCACCTTCTTCCGGGGCAGCTGGTGTGGGAAGCGGGTGGCGATGCTCAACTCTGCAGCCGGTGGGCCCGGAAGCGTGGGGCCTGCTGTCTACCATCCACCGGCTGGCTCCGCTCGGTCTGAGCAGAGGAGTCCCCAGCTCTAGGCTGAGGGCTGGAGACAGGAGACTTGCCCTCTGGGGACCTCCCTGGTGGTCCAGTGGTTAAGACTTCACCTTCCAATGCAGGGGCTGTGGGTTCGATCTCTGGTTGGGGAGGTAAGATTCCACAGGACTCATGGCCAAACTCCCCCCCCACCCCGAAAAAAAAAAAGAAGACTCACGGGCTGGGAGGAAAGGGCAGGCGGAGAGAAGCATGTATACAGTGAAGAGCACCCTTGAAAAACGCCTAGGAAGGCGCCATATTAGAGACCCGCAATACAGTTTCCTTTCTGAGTTGAAAGAGTCCATCACTGATAAAGCTGCCAACTTTCATTTAGGAGCAATGTTGCACAAATCAACTTCCCACATCTGTAAATGCTGGAATTGGGCTCAGGACCAAGAGAGGCCGGCTCTGGAAGGTTCCCCAGGAACGGCCACTGCCTGAGGAGCAGCAGGGCCAGGAGAATGCCTCCAATTCATTCCAGGGCTGCAAAGAGCTCCACATGCTCACTGCAGTTATTACTCTTCGTTTTCTGCCAAGTGTATATTGTTCTCATGGAAGCGACATGTGTACATGACACGACTCTTCTATACTCTTCTCCATATGGCTAATCATGCTTGGCACAGGCCCCACTGTTCAAAGTCCTGAAGCAGAGGGTGGATGAGAGGCCCTTCGGATCCCTGTTAGTTTTAAGATCTATTCTTCTCTTGGTGCAGTGGTAAAGAACCTGCCTGCCAGTGCAGGAGATGAAAGAGATCCAGGTTCGATCCCTGGATCAGAAAGATGCCCTGAGGAGGAAATGGCAACCCACTCCAGTATTCTTGCCTGAAGAATCCCATGAACAGAGGAGCCTGGAGGGCTACAGTCCATGGGGATGCAGAGAGTTGGACATGACTTGGCACTTCTAGATCTTTCTCTAGCTATTTATACATATATATGCATAATTTTTACATGAATAGAAACATACTATACATATTCTACTACTTAATATTTTCATTGAATAAAATCTTGTTTTTTTCCCCACACATCAACTAATTCATAGTATGAATATTCTATAATATTTTGTAACCATCTGCCATTGTTAAACATTTTTAATTGTGTCCACTTTTGCTATAACAAGTATAACTATAGTAAACATTCTATGTACATGTATCTTTGAATATTTATATGTTATTTCTAGAAATAAATGAATAGACATGGAATTATTAAACATTCTAAGTACATATATCTGAATATTTGTTACTTCTAGAAATGAATAGACATGAAATTTCTATAATTTAAAACATTTGAAACTAGCACTAAATTGTCCTCCAAAAATATTTAATAGTTTTCACTCCCAACCACACTGTTCCTCAATACTTTACCTTGGGCTTCCCTGGATTGCAAGAATCCACCTGCAATGAGACAGACCTGGGTTTGATCTCTGCATTGGGAATATTCCCCTGGAAGAGGGCATGGCAACCCACTCCAGTATTCTTGCCTGGAGAATCACCATGAACAGAGGAGCTTGGCAGGCTACAGTCCATGGGGTTGTAAGGAGTCAGATATGACTGAGTGACTAAGCACACAGCACTACCACTAAATAGTCTTCCAAAAATATTGAATAGTTTTCACTCCCAACCACACTGTTCCTCAATACTACATATTATCAACGTTTTAAATTTTGCCAACCTGATATAAAGTTTTTCCAGATTTGCCAATCTGATATATATTTAAGTTCTGCTTCTTTGATACTAAAGAGATTGAATATATTTTCAAACATTTAGTGGCAATTTCTATTCTTTTGAGAAACTTGTTTATATTTTTAAATGTTTTCCATTGGGTTGTTTCCATGTTTCTTACAGATGTTTCGGTTCAGTTCACTTGCTCAGTCGTGTCTGACTCTTTGTGACCCCATGGACTACAGGACTCCCTGTCCATCACCAACTCCCAGAGTTGGCTCAAACTCATGTCTTTCGAGTTGGTGATGCCATCCAACCATCCCATCCTCTGTTGTCCCCTTCTCCTGCCTTCAATCTTTCCCAGCATCAGGGTCTTCTCCAATGAGTCAGTTCTTCACATCAGGTGGCCAGAATGATGTTTAGGAGCTCTTTTATGATGGATATTAATTTTTCATTGTAAATATTTCTCCTCATCTGACACTTGTGTTTTATTTGTATATAGTGTCTTTAATTTAGCAATTTTTTTTCTTTTGTTAAGGATGCCTTCTGGGTAGTTAAGTTTTGCTCAAGTAGGTCTTCTCTGCCTAACAATTATATTTTTGTGGAATTTCTTCTTATTTTCTTCTAATACTTCTATAGCTTTACTTTTTATGTTTATCCCTGGAATTTTTATGAACTTATGATACAGACAGGGCTCTGGCTTTGCATTTTTTCCAAAGGTCTTGGTTTTAGCTGTCTCAGTGCCAATTACTGACTATTCTTTTCTTTTCTTACTAATTTGAAATACCACATTGATAATATATCAAATTCCAACATACACACACATCTCTCTCCTAATCCTGTTTTTCTCCATTGATCTACGTGTGTATTTTACCATCTATTAGCATCATACTTTCTTCTCACTGTAGAACTGTAGTATGTTGTGATGGCTGATAGGACACATCCACCATTGCTCACCATTTCTATCTATCAAATATTTTTTAGCTATTCTTTTTTTTAAATTGGAGGATAACTGCTTTAAAATGTTGTGTTGGTTTCTGCTGTATAATATCACTTTTAAAGCTATTCTTAAGCCTTTTTTGTCTTCTATACAAATTTTATAAATGGGTCAAATTTCATTGAAAAAATCTGTGACTTAAGTGGGTTTGCACTGAATGTATAAAGTAGTCTGAGCATAGCTGACATCTCAACAATACTGAGGCTCCCCATCCAAGAACACGAATGTCCCTTCATTTATTCAGTTCTTGTTTTAAACTTGCATGTAGTGATTTATAGTTTTCTTAATGAGATTTTGCATATTTCTTAAGTTTATTCCTGGGTGTTATAATTTTTGTTGTTATTGTAAGTGTTATATTTTCCTATTATGTTTTATGATTGGCTTTGGTATTCTATCAGTAAGCTATTAATTGCAATATATTGGGACCTTGAATATGGATGCTTTAACGAGTTCTATATTAGTTTTAATGATATTTAGTTGATTCTTTAGAATCTTCTATTCAGAGAAGTATTAAGGAGCTGCAAAGATAACATTTTTATATATTCCCTTCTAATTATTAACCCTTTCTATTTCTTTTTGTTGTCTAATTTCACTGCTTAGAGTTTCCAGCACCTTGTAGGACTAAGTCTAACACTTGTTAGTAATTTTGAAAGGGAACGACTCTAAAATTTTACTGGCAAGCAGAATGCTTGCTTTAAATTTCTGGGAGAAAAACTCTTTATTAAGCTAGAGAGGTTTCCTTTTATTCTCTACCTAAGACTTATCATAGATAAGCTTTGAATATAATCAATTCATTTTCAATGTATTAAAATGAATTGTAATTCTATTCTTCACATAAAAGCCACCCTCTTTTGGCCGTAAATGTCAATGATCATATACTTTATTTCACAAAGACAGTATAACCATGTCAGAAACCTCTGATGCCATTAAAGTTGGTGTATGTTAAAAATGTAGAGCTAGAAATATTTTTGGGAGCACATTTTTTAAAAAAAAGCACATATTTACGCTGTTGTTAATTTAATATGAATCCCTCACCTTGAAATCATCAGGAATGAGGAGTTTTGATGTTCGTAGAAAATTCAAGATATATCTGAACATCTGTCCATCTCTGTCAATGAAATAGTGCTGTTTGAGACTGTCCAAAACAATGGGCTCTGTACCATCAAAAAGTCTTCCGATTCTGTGATAGGAAAGAGGGAACAGTGAAGACAATTAGAATCAATCGTTCGGCCACTAAGACTGAAAGCTACTGTTCTGTGTCACCGTCAAAGGCAGCACTTCTGAAGATGGCAGTCAGGGAAAATCACCCACTAAGTAGGCATGGTTCCCTGAGAAGTACTGGCCCCTGCTTGATAGATATCTCAAGACCAGACAATTCAAAATAGTCGCAGGCTTTCTCAAGTAAATTCTATTATTCAATGTCTTTTACCTGTAAAGAAGATGTTCCTGACATGGTGATTATGGCTAAGTGCTGTCACTGTAATGGAAGATCATGTCTTTCCCTCTGTGTTACTTAAAACAACCTTCTCTGCCATTAAAAAAAAAAAAGCGTGATTGCTCCCAAGTGTCTTTTAAAGAGTCTACCAAAAAAAAGCATCTTTGTTTTTAAGAAATCTGTTTTCTGAGCTTGCCCTACCCATAAGTCCCATATTTTCTAAAAGTAAAGCAATGTCTATATGCTAACATCCAGATTTAATTATAAAAATGAATCACTGAGAATATCACTCATCTAGGAGAATATGTTTTTCATTAACAATATGCAGTCCAGTTTCCTAGGTCTCAGCAAAAATCATTTGTAACAGCCAGGAATCATTATAAAATATAAACATCTGACCACCCAAAAAATATGACCTAGTTCTGGAACATAAGTGGCAGTGGGTAATTTTTAAAAACAGGAATCCATAATATGTGTTTCCTGTTTACAGTTAACATTTGAAAAGTGTGTTATAGTTAAAGCCTTTTGTATCCACTATCATTCACCTCTTTAAAGCAGGCTAAACCTATATACTTTAGTATACATCCAGTTAATAGAAAGTGGCCACAGCTATACTATGAACAACTAGAGGGTTGGCTAATGAAAAATAAATATCCTGTATCAGAAAACAGAATTTACACACTTGAAATCTCTTCCTTTGCCAAGAGGTACATTTGACTTTCATTAAAAGTGTAGGTAGGAGAATGGTTCCATTTTTAAAGAAAAGATTTTTGTGGAACTCATGACAAGTCTCTCTCTGATTTGGAACACCATTTTATTGCTCTGATGATGATTTTGAAGATGATTTTGAAATCATACATTTCCTAGTCTTATTTTTGAAATGTGACAGATGTAATGCTAAATTGATAATTCCATCTCTCTTAAAATACAGCAAACAAACCAACAAACAGGAAAGCTGCCCCCCTCTCTCCCAAGAATGACTTGTGAATGTGCTTCAATAACAACCTTTTAAAGATAATTAGAGAACTCCTGTCCTACCTGAAGGTAGTAGGTGCAAAGAAGAAAGCAACTAATTAGTCAGATCGTATCTTTAAAACTCAATATATTTTTCTCAAGTACTGTTTTCATCCAACTTTCCATGAATTGAGGGTGATCATGTAGGGTGTAAATTACAATCATCCAAGGATTCTACCTTGCATGCTACCTTGTCATTCATTTCTCATTAACATATCAATCAAATGGTAGACTATGTAAAGAAGAGGCAGTAAAACTAAAACACCCTTAGTCACTTATTTATAGTGTTTCCAGGACAGTTTGGTGCACGATGGGAAAGAATGAGACTTGTTTGCCTGTTATTCAAACATTCTACTCTTTACTGCTACTGATAAATTTACAGTTGATAGTGGAAGAAAAGGGAGCTATATTTATTAACTGCTTTCTATATACCTTGCACTCATCTAAGCACTTTATGTAACAAATCCATTATCCTCCTTTTAAAGATGAAGAAAGAGGCTCAAAATGATGAGTAACTTGCCCAACTAGTTAAGTAGCACTGGGGGAGTTGGGTACAGTCTGTTTGATCTTGAAGGGGCCTCCCTACAATGATTGGAATGAAAAGAATTACCACTACTGAATGAACACTTTAGGTCTAGAGATTTCGTGTCTATCTTAGATTTGTTTGGCAAGAGTTTTATAATGAAATCCAAACGTGTACACTGATTATTTTCGTGGCCTGAGATAAATTAACATCGATGATTACAAGTCACTTTACTAATGAGATGAAAAGTAAATATTTTATTCTTAAATAAACCCCAAGCTTTTAATTTTTAAAAGCTCATTTTCAAAATCTAGGCTTGGAAGTGAGCCAGCACAGAAAGTGATCAAATAAATCTTCACGAAGTGAATGAGTAAAGGATGACTGAACGAGGAGAGGAATGAGGCTTGGCCAGTTATTAGCTGTAATCTGAGCGAATCAACTTTTCTACATCTCTATTCTTTTATAAAATTACCCCTTTTCTCCGGGTTGATGAAAAAATCAAAAGGGGTCATGGCATGCTCAAAAAGACAGCAAAAGAAGGTACCCCAAAATAGCAAATAAAAATTTCTAGGAAAACAGCTCTTTGAAGCCTGAGGGCAGTTTAGGGTGCAGGGTTTAAAGGAGTAAAAGGAACAATCATGGCTGAGGTGTATTGTTACAGACCTTTCCCAGAAAGGAGAAAAGTGTCATGTTAAGCAGTTTTTAGGATACTGTCAAAACAAAAACCCCACCACCAGCAGATAACAAGAAACTGCACAGCCGCAGTAAGAAGCACCTTTACATCTGATTTAGCTGAAATAGCAAAAGATGCAAAGGCAAGAGGAGGGAAGTCTGAAAGAAGACTCAGCAAGGGGACAGGAAGGTGGCTGTGGCCCCTGGGCGAGGCAGTGGGAGAAGAGAAGCTGGGAGGAAGGACAGGATTCTACTCGGCAGAGTAGAAACCCCACCATGGAGCTGTCTCGAGTGTGGGTCAGCAAGGCCTGGAACCTGCACGGCCCGGAACCTTCGCTTCCAGCTTGCTCCAGGCGAGGGAGGGCGCACTCTGCGGACCGAAGGCGGGGAGGGCGTGGCCTGAAATTGGTGGGAAAACCCTCCCCGCCTCCAGCACCAAGGCGGAAGCAGCGTGGTTGACGCGGGAGCCGAGAGGCGGGGGTGGGGAGGCTCGGAAGGAAGAGCCCGTGGCCGCGTCAATGCATGCATATTCCTGGCTGCAGTGAAAGGCCCCTCGGAAAAGAAAGAGTCCCTGCGTTTGAGTCAACAAAAGTTACAAGTAATACAAGGAGACACTGGGCTGATTTTTGCTACCTTTAAAAGGAGGAAGGTTTTGAATTTGTGAAAACAATGCGGAAGGGCAGGGTGGTGACAGCGATCGTAAATGGGTCCTGGGTCGGTTTCAAGGTTGAATGTGCTGTGTAAAAGCACTGTTTGGCTAAGCAAATAAAGGGGGACATCGACACAGGCTGTATTTCTTGTGGACACATGAATGGAGTTACAAATCAACTGTTGTGACTTGTAAACTCTGGTGCCTGAAAACTATGTGGCCCTGATTACAGTTTACTAACCTTGGAGAACATTCCTGTTTTTCAACTGACCAAGACCTGGCTGACTCCAGATGATGTATGACTGCCTTTAAAAAAAAAAAACCACCACTCACTGAACCAAGTGGCAGTACTGAGAAAAACTTCCTCCCACAATTTTATTCTTTTGACATTTATTTTTTAACATTCTATTTTGGACAGTTTCAAGTTGTATGCCAAAGCAGGGAAAATAGGATAATGAACTCCCATGTGTCCATCCAGCTTCTAAAGCTATCAACGCTTGTTCAGTCTTACTTCACCTGTACCTCTCTGCGTCCCTCTCCCCGCTCTGGGATTTTTAAAATAAATTGTAAGCATCCTATCATTTTTATGTGCAAATAATTCATTAACTAGAGGACTGGGCTTCCCTGGTGGCTCAGATGGTAAAGAATCTGCCCGCAATGCGGGAGGCCCCGGTTCGATTCCTGGATCAGGAAGATCCCCTGGAGGAGGAAATAGCAACCCACTCCAGTATACTGGTCTGGAGAATTCCATGGACAGAGGTTACAGGTTGCAAGGAGTAGAGGATTAATATCAATCAATAAAATATGCATTAATAGACATTCAAATGTGCTCCTCTTTATTAGAGTTAGAAGTCTGTTGATTACTCTATGCAGCAAATAATGCAGCCCAACCACTAAGGAAATTAAGTTCCTCTTGGTGAAAAGTTAGTCTGCTTCCTCACTGTGGCTCCCCCTCTCCCTGGCATTAAAGAATGCTCTTAAATGAAAGAGACCTGGCTTAGTGTGAATATTAGTCATTAAGAATTTATTTTTTCTTGTATATTCAATCATTTATAGGACTTAGGTTCTCTAATTTAACTGTGACTCAGTTCCTTAAGAATTTTGCTTTCCTGGGAATTCCCTGGAGGTACAGTAAGTTAAGACTTCCCACTTCCACTGTAGGCAGCATGGGTTCAATCCTTGGTTAAGAAACTATATATCCCACATGCCATACCACACAGTAAAAAAAAAAAAGAGAGAGAATTTCTCTTCCTTTTTTTTTTTAAATTGTATAGTCACTCAGTTATTTGTTCATTCTTTCCACCAATACTCACTCAACCTGATCATGTGAACTATAGGGAATGCAGTGGTGAATAAACCACACTCTTGACTTTCATGGAATTTAACAGTCTGTGGGGCTGGAAATGCAGATCAAGTGGTGTGACTGAGTGTGCAGTGGGTATGCAGAGTGAGCTGTGGGAGTACTCAGGGAAGAAAAAGAAAGTTCACAGGAGAGCCTGAATGATAAGCAGAAGTTGGTATAGAGGTGGGAGCTAAGGTTAGATAAGAAAAGACAGGTGTAGGGAAGATACAAAGGCTTGAAGCTGGGAAAAAAAAAAAAACAACCCACTGCCATATGATTACTCTCCACTAGGGCATAGAGACAGGCCAACTGAAAAATGAGACAGGCAGCAGAAGTCAGACCACGAAGAGCTGTGTAAGCAGGTCAAGGAGTTTGGGTTTGGTTTGGAGGGCGATGGGGACTGATGTCAGGCTATGCTCTCAGCGATGTTTAGGAAAAGAGCAAATTTAGAAGTGAGAAAATCAAAACACTACCTCTGAGATCACATCTCCTCACAGAGGCAGCTTGCAGCTTATCCAGGTCCTATCTCCCTTCCCTTGTTTTTG